GCAGCTTTTGTTGTGCAGTGCACGTAGAGCGGTATGTTTTCGCGAGTGGCGTGTACTAGATGCACTTCATCCTAGGTTTTTCGGCGCTTGCGGGAGGAACAAGAGCGCAAAGTGGAGGTCCAGTCTGAAACCAAAAGAGTAACTATGATAGTGTTTTCTTGGATGTTTTGGAGTTTTTCCAGGAGATGCTGAGCCATTTGGGTCCAAACGGCAAAGAATCTCGACCTGACTCACCCCGGCCGTGCACCAAAATTCTGGTGACATGTCATGGCGGTTTTGCTGCATGCCTGGTTGTGATGGATTGCAGGTCTCTGGCGCTTACAGGGCCACCTGTCCACGAGCTCCTGTACCAGGACGCCAAGCGGCGTGAAGCAGCACGCCGAGAGGCATCTGATTTGATTATGACCCGCTAGTGCCGTTCAATCAAAGGATTCTCTCATTGCCACCAGAGTCAGCAGGTGTCAGCGTTGCTTCCAAGAATCTGCCTACACATGCAATATACAAACTTCGCCGTTGTGTCTGGACGACTGAGCTGGCTCGTGTTTGTAATTGCAACTACTACGAGCGAGTAGCAAGCCGGTCCTTTCGCCACAGCCCTGTCTCAACGCAGGGCAGAGAAAACCTTGCTGTAAGCTTCACAATCCTCGAAACCCACCAAGCCTGAAAAGTCTGTAGACTAGACCCTGAGGCCCAACAAACGCTACACCAAGGACCCTGAACCATAAACAGGCTTGTGATGAACGACTTTGAGATATCCAAATCCGCGAACGCCTGCTCCGACAAGACGGAAAACCTGCGCAGTATGCTGCGGTGTGGTCAAACTAGCGGCATGGCCGTACAACAAAGGCTGATGAGACGAAAGAGTTAAATCTAATCATTCATTCAGTTGAGGCGGTTATGGAAGAAACAACTTACTGCATTCATTGATTTGGGAATGCCAGATCTTCGTGCGGCAGTTCATTCTGAACGATCGAAGCTTCTGTGAGAGACTTGTGCGTCTGCAGCCCGTGTTGAATGGATTTCAGTGCAATCGTTGCGAAGCTAGAATGTGCGAAGCTAGCAAGCTCGTCGCAAGCCGGACTTCCTTAATTTTCCAGGAACGCCATGCAAACTCGCAAGAATAAGTGATCGGTGAGAGGCCGCCGGGTAGAGGAAAGCGCGGCAGGAGGCACAAATCAAAAAGGCAAGCTGCAGTCCCCTTCTGGGCTCTTGTGGCGCAGGCACTCCCCCCCACCCTCGCATATGTTCTCGATTGGCGAATAAGATCTTGTTGCGTTGGCCATCGTTACTCTTTACGCGTTCTGTACTGCTCCAGATCTGTGTTTGGAAAAGCGCCCAGAAGTACACGCCGCCACCTCGGCTTCGCATCAAAGACTTCAGACACGCCAAGGAGGCTAATGGAGGCTAGCGGCTAGCGGCGCCAAGAGCGTGGGACAAACCAAGAGCAAGAAGAAATGAGATGAATTGAGGAAGTGGGACCGGAGAGAGAACTCGCCAGCCGGCAACTCAAAACGGCAAGGGAGACCTAGAGAAAAAATAATCCTGGCCACAAAGCAAGGGCCTGAGGACTGGGATGGGCTGGGCAAACACAAATCATACAAAACATGAAAGTTTTGGTGCCCGATGCCAGAGCTATCTGGAGGTCTAGGCGAGGCCAATGTGGAAGCAGGGGAAGCACAATCTCAGCAGCAAGGGGTTTGGATTCTCGTTTGGAGTTAAACCGTGTGCCACCGATATTGGAGAGCGTCCGAACAGTAGAGCAGGAAGGAAGATCAAGTGGAGAGCAATAATACGGCCAGCGGTGAAGAACGGTACGGGGCGGGGACGGTCAAACCGCGAGTGCTGGTAGCTGAAGGCAGCAGAGCCCTTGAATACACGAGTTTGTTCTCGGGTTCCCGACGTCACCTCGTTTCTAGCCACACCTGGCCGCATATGTCATTTGTTGAAAAAGTTCCGTAGGCCTTGCAGCCATCGGTGACGGTGGCCAAGCCTCGTCATGATCCAGAGGACTTGGGCTGCCTAATGATTCTGGCTTCATCGCAGTGGCTGCATGCCTGTGAGACGCAACAAAGTGGAATTTGTCCGATCTCGCGCAGTACATCGATCGTCTAGCAAAGCCATCTCAGAGGGAAGAAGAGGAGGCCAAGGGATGATGGCATGTCTTGATCGGCAAGCTCAAGACACTGTGGTGGTAGCTCGTACTGGATCGCAGGGGTAAACCAGTCAACGTATCCTCGTTAGAGTGCTGTGTATCAGTGGCACTCTTCCTGCAACATCCATGACGTTTAGGGTTGTTGTCGATTGCATTTTTTGTGCCTTGCCCGGTCAGCAACAAGCGCTCGAATTCTGCAGATCTTTTTTGCGGACTCGGTCCAGGCTGGTGCAGGGCAGCCTGAAATCCATGCAAAAAAGAAGCTTCTCAACATTGGTTGGGGCCTGCGTGCAGTTTCTGTGTGTTTCGCTAGCTGGCTTCATGTCAAAAAAACGTAGCTTTGCTCAGCTCGAGGCCGCATTATGGAGCTGGCTGATGAGAAGCGAGTGTGGTACGAAGTCAGGGAGCGGCAAAGGCACGGATGAGTGACATGATCTACCTTCGTTTGTTCAACTCGGTCTCTTTAGGCAAGAGAAGATGGATCAAGAGGTGTGCCTGAGCTGCTTGGTTTCGTGGCGAGCTTAGTGAGGGCTATCGTTTCTGCTTCAGGAAAGGCTGCGAAGATGCAGCTGCCCAGCTTCGGCATGAGGTTGCCAGGCCTGCCTTCAAACGTGCTCTCATCTGATTTTGACTATGCAGCCGCAGCAACCTTCAGGAAGTCCCGCATGACGATAGCAGTGCGGCGATGGCGAGAGATGCTCGCACAGGCTCTGACAAACATACCTTGCAAGTGTCCCATCTTGAACTGCAGCTGTCGCAACAGGTGCTCCTGATTTCGGCATTTGCACCTGGGTTGCGGGTCCGAATCTCACGTCATGGGGCACCGACTTTTTGGCATGACATTTTGCTGGCAAGAGAGGCTTGTTCGACTGCTCAGGTGGGAAGCGATGCAGGCACAAACATGTCAGTTTCAAGTCAGCCGCGTTTGTCTGTTTAGGTAAACTAGTTTAAATTTCGGGCCTGGCATCATTGGCCGGCCTGGTGGTCCCCCTTCTAAACCCCAAAACGGAGTCCCAATTGTGCTGCTGATGCTCCAAGTCATGAGAAGCCTCTGTGGAAAGGCTGTTCTTGCTACTTTCCCTGATTTTATCGGGCTTTGAGGTCTTCTTGTCCTTGACTTGACCCAAAATGGGATCCCATTTGTGCTGATGCTAGTCTAACGCGCGTGTCCGTGCTAGCGCCGCACGTGCCCGAGCATCATCGCCACAATTGGGACTCCATTTTGGGTCAAGTCAGGGACAAGAAGACCTCAAAACCCTACAAAACCATCCAAAGCTCCTCGACTGTTTCTTTTTATGCAAACTTGCCATGTTCCAGCTCACCTTGCCCTTTTTTGCAGTTCGCAGGCGACATTCACGTAGGTTTAAGTGGAGTAACAACGGTAGAGGCTGGTAAAAAAACCATGCAAAATGCGCAGTTTGCAGATGTTGGCTTGAGTACTGCCTTTACAGCCGCAAATACTACTCACCGCACATGTTCCCTCTAGAGATTGCGCATAGAAAGATCCAATCCCCCTCCAAATCCTATGAAAACGTTGCCCCGAACGCTTCGTGGCGTGGGGCGGAAGCCCTCAAAAATATGTTAATTTTTGGCACCCTGGCCCAAACCGATGTTGGGGCCAAATTGAAAACGTACATAGTCAGGATGCTTTTTGGAGGGTAGTGTGGAACCCCCAAATCCTTCCCATACAAATCCCTCCGTAGCGTGAGGGCAAAATCGGGCAACGCCCTGGCGTTGTTGCTGCCGCAGGCCATGGCCCTGGCTTCGCCAAGGGCAGGACGCCAGTGCCGCCGACCTGCATCATCGGACCTCCGTTTCTCCAAGGGGCCCTTCTGAAGCCCACCCCCAAACCAAGCTCAAATTCACATGCGTTCCAGAGGCTTCCCCTCAACACACGGAGGGATTTTCGAAGGATTTGGGGCTCCCCAGGATTCCCGAAAAAGCATCATGAGCACAGAGGTTTTTGAAATCTAGCCCCGAGGTCGATCCAAGCCGGGACAGCTCATTTTCCGGGTCTGAGGTTTTGCCGGAAAGCTTCTGATGATGCTGGCCACTGGGCCAGCATCCCATCAGCAGAGGGGGGGGAGGGCGCCCCTCCTCCCCCGTGACTCTCTTTGTACATTGCCTTCGTTGCCCATTCCTCGTCTCACCCGCTTAAATATGAGGTTGACCACCGACATGTTCGCAGGACTGTCGTCGCCGAAGGATGCGGAAGGTCCCCGGAAGGAAAAGCTTTGCAGAAGGCTCGCGGAAGCCCTTCTGAAGACAGACTGCGGAACGCACCGCCTCAGCGGAAGAAGCATGACCAGGAAACACCTTTGACAACAATTAGCACTTGCTCGAAATGCTGCTTAGCAGCGACAGGTTCAGAGGTCTTGCTGAGGGTAACTGCACGGAAGCTGAGTGGAAGGTTTGCAAAAGGCTCGAGGACGTTTTGAAGCTCAGTGCCTATGTCTCACGCAAACGCGCGCCAACATCAAGCGATAAGATTATTTCATGTTAGCATCCACGATTGTTAGTACTCGATAATGATCGCACACTTAATTATGTGTAGTAGCTTCGTCAGAACCAAGCGTCACACACACACACACACGCGCACACACACACACACACACCACAAGAGCCCAACATGAGGATATACTTCCTGGAAGCAAAATGGCTGCCGGAAGTCGCGGAAGCTGTGATGTGCAAGATATCAGACGTTACTGACGTGCTTGACCGCAGAAGGATGCGGGAAGGTTAGCATGGTCCTCGGAAGTGTTTTGCATCACACGAATCATATGCACCTTTGAATATGGGGGAGGAGTTTGGGAGGCTGTGGGAGGACCTGGCAAACTTAGGAGCGTGGCTTTACCGGTGGTTCATTTGAACAAAGAGAGAATCTTCCCGAAGGAGCAAGGTCAGGGACGGTCTTGAAAGTTGGTCCGCTTCTGAGGGCTTTGGAGCCTCTGAGTTGCCTAGGCAAGGGGGAAGATACGGGCAGTTATCAGAACCATCAAGCAGACATCATCCAGAGATGGACTAAACACACTGAAGTCATCAACCATTTTGGTGAAACGCCGCCGAGGCTTTGCAAACATTTGCTTAGTTGAAGAATGGTAGAGTCTGGCGACGCCCGGGGGTGTTCAGGTTTGAGCTCGGGAGATTGCAGGCGAAAACGGCTTACCCGCGAGAAACATGTGGCAGACGAACACTTTCCTACAGGCTGCCGGCCCGGTGCCATAGAACCTTTCAGAGGTGTACTTACGAGCTTACCTGGGAAACTCTTTCCTGATGGACTGATCAGGCTGGTATTGGTATTGCTGGCCAGCACGACCTGTTGGGTACACGTTTAAATCAACTTTGCAGCATTAGGCTGCAGGGCAAGGGCTACTTTCATATCCTTGGATGCGTTTGCCCTGCTCCTGTTCGTGCTTACATCTCTGGAGTCTGTCCTGTTCAGATGGCGTGTGGCAGCTGCTAGCGCTGGCTGCAGGATCCTCCAAGGCACATTGCGCAGCAGTGCATTTTCTGCAAAGCATGGGTCATGCCATGCCGGTTCAATTTGTCATGCTGGAGTTAACACAGGTTGACATCAGCAGGAAGTGTTTGGCGGCCGCAACAAGGGTGAGGGTCTGCAAGCCTTGCATGAGGTGGGGGGGCTGGAGGGAGGTCATGGCAATGCTTCATTCCTTAGAATGTCACCTCTCGAAGTATGCGCGGCAGCCAGCATATTCTTCTTTTTTGCTTTGTGGGGCTTTGTCTGCGGCGGGCAGTGTTCTGCCAGCGTGTTGTAATGGCCTTAATGTGGGCAGATGCCATCTTTGCACGCACTGGACGCTTGCCTGCCGGTGAGCGCTAACGTTTGGAGTTGAGGCGGCAGATGAGGACCGCCCTGTTTTCCAGCTGGGTGCGCATCAAGTTGCAGCTGCAGTGCAGAGCAGAGCAGGGCCAGCCAGGGCTAGGCAGGTTTTGCTTTGAATGCCGAAGAACCTGTACTTGGAGCTTGACTTGACGCTTGCAAAAGTCAAAAAGTCGCAAGCTAGCTCACGGTTGAAATTGGGGCGAGCTGTGGCGCCCCCAGGGCTGTTTTTGCGCCTGGATGATATCCTCAAGACCAGGCAAGCTGACGTGTGTGCTAGTCCGGCATGGATCGCCGCCTTAAAGGTAAACAAGCGGCCTAGCGCTTTGGTTTCCATTGGTCCCTGCCGCGAAAGGTGCCCACTGGCCTGGATCTGTGGCAGCCGCTTGACAGGGCGCAGAAATGGCTAGTCCAGAACAGGTGTGACCTGAAGCAGCTCATTGTGCATCCGGTGGACTTCAAGCCCATTTCTCAATGGCATGCTGCAGCAGGAATGCGACCATCCTGGGCTGGATGCCACGCAGGGGGCCTCGCTTGGCAACCGGATTGAGCGCAACAAGACCCAGCAGCTTGGCGCTGCCCTACAGCGCTGCCAAGTTGCGAGTCAGCACCCGCCTCAAGTTTGTCCTGCAGGAGGCTCTGTTCAGGAGTGACGAGTGGGCTGCGGTGCTGGCGTCGGTGATGAAGCAGCACATGGAGGGGCAGTGGAACCTCGACCGCCTCCGGCAGAGAGCTGTGCTGGAATCCCTTCCCACACACAGATGCCGTTGCAGGCAGCCAGTGCCACGAAGCGCAAACTTGGTCATGCCATGCCCATTGGCCAGGCTACCGCAGACCTCAACGTGGTCGCCTTTTTCTTGGGGGGCTGCGCAGCGATGACAAGGTCCTCACAAGCGGCAAAAGAAAAAATCCTGGTGTCCACAATGGTCAAGGACACTAGCCAGAGCCAGGGGTGCTGTCCCTTGACTGTCACTGACGTCGGCTATGAAGATGCTATCCGCACTCTGGACATCGTTCGCGCTATCGAACCGTGCAGGGTGTTCGAACAAGACCCGACCATGCTGCCCTGACGCATCCAGAACACCTCCAGAGTGCCGAAAGTTCAGCTTGGGCCGCATCGTTCAACAGAGGTGATTGCCATTACCACATCGTGACCCACGCCGCGCAGCCTGCAAGGAGGCCTTCCACCAGCAGTCGGTGTCGACCTTTAACGCAAGCGGCATTTCTGCCATGACTGCATGCGTTGCCGCGTTGGCTGCCTGCTGGGCAGACCCCTCAAGAACCTTTTTCCGAGGACTGAAGCTCTGTCGACCAACGCGGCTAGCCTGTCGCAGGCTGCAGTCGCGCACGGCTCGTGGTGGAGCCCCAGTCTGGCAGACACCTTAATTCCAAGCGTCACACAGCGCTCTCCCTACGCGCGCTGCCCCCACCAAGCCGGCAGCTCAGCTGTTGCAGGAGCTTTGCGCTTGGGGCTGCCAGGCTCTGCAGGCCTCTCAGTTGGCGGGTGAGCGAAACGGTTTGCCCACTTGCCTGTATCGGTGGAGTCCAAATAAGTAGGCGCTCGGCTGACATAGCGGCGAGCCCGCCACAAGCCGCGCACCGCCACGTCGTAACCACGACATAGCGCCAACTCTCAATCCAAAATCACAGGCGCTGAGGGCTCCAGGGGCTGGTTGCGAACCCGCAAGGGCCAGCGCCGTGAGGAAGACAGAGAGCTGGTCCAGATAGTTGTCGGCCGTGTCCACTGGCTGGTCGTCCATCTCCGCAGGATCCTGAAGCAATACCTCCACTATAGACGAGCCGCTGCTTCTTACTCTGGTGAGGGCGCTGGTAGGCCAGGCTGCGCACCTTGCTGAGGTCCTGCGCATCCAGGCTGCGACGAAGCTGCTGCCTGGCCAACTTACTCACCAACCTGTCTGATGGAGTAAGCTTGGGCGGGAACTTAATGTGGTAACGCTGAAAAAAGGCCAACTTAAGCGCTTGAAGATCACTTTGAGGAAGCAGCTTGTCATCAGCCTCGCGGGACTTCTTGAATTGCACGCAGGCCGCCCAGGCATGACGTCCTTCTTAATGGCCTCCTCACACTGGTCGAGGATTGTTACCTGGAGTTCGGCCTCCTGCTGCACGTAGTAGCGAACGTCACTGAGGGACTTGACAATGGCCTCTGCCGCTTTAGCATCCAGGCGGAAATCACCGTCTCCTTGGGCGCGGCTGAACCCTGGCAGGGTTATAGCGCACTAGTGAGAGGGCGGGGAGGACACACGAGCAGTACAGCAGCTCACAAACTAAATAAAGGCTAACGCAGCACGCGCTGGCAGGTCCACTGCACACGCAAAGCCCACGGCTTGCCCTACACGTAGCAGAGACCCTGCTGAGGGCACCTTTTCCCTCGCCGCTGCCCATACTAGTAATGGTTGTGCGAAGCATCTATGGTGTCTGTGCACACGGCGAGGATCACGGCAACATGCCGCCCCGCAAAAACAGACCTAGTTGCACTGCAAGCCCGAGCTGGTGGCAGCTGAAGTTCTTGTGGACGCCGAAGCAGGAGTAGGAAGCGGAGGCACAGGTGTGGGCCAAGCATAGGCGCGGGGATGCTCCTCAGGTACCTCGCGATGGTCTTGCTCGGTGTTGGTACGTACGTGCATCCCAAGCTGGAGAATGACCAACACCAAAGCCCACAATTGGTTCGAACTGAGGGCAGCGAGGTCGAAACGCTGCTCCATTGCCTGCGTGACAAATGAGAAAGGTTAGTATAGCGTGGGCCAGGGCTCACGTGCAAATGACGCCACCTGCACATGCCCAACAGGCAGAGGACGGCAACGCGCTGGTACGTATGGTACGGTTTCGCAGGCTACTCCACCACGGCGCCACCCAGGCACGCTGGTGAAGTCGGCCAGGCACACGCGTACTCAAGGGCAGACAGCCCCGACGCACCTGGCAAAACTTGCCCCGCTCAGAAGGTCCCACCTGCCACGGCAGGCGGGGCCAAGCACGTGCGCAAGCCTCCTCGCACAACGTCCCAAAGCTCACCAGCTGAGGGTCCACCAGCGGAACGTGGCGTCCGATGTCTATTCTCAGCATCGCTCCTTGCCTGCAACACACGTCTAAATCGGGCATAACCACTTTTCCCACTGATAAAAACTTCAGTGAATGGAGTCACCCTGGCATTCCTGTTCCCCCGATTTGGATGCCATGTCTGGCCTGGTCTTTACGGCCTCCAGGCGGCGTATCTCTACTTCAAGTGGGTCCAGAGCAAATCCAACTGGGCTGACGGAGTCAGTCGCGATGGAATGGGGGGATGGATGGGCACGAGATCACGGCTTCAGCTCCGCTACGTGGACTGCCAGCTCTTGCTCTGGAGATTGCCCTCCATGCGGCTCGCGCGCATCTTTGAGTTCGTGTCCCTATCAGATGCTTGCATGGCCAAGGATTCGCAAGGCATGCAACCCAAAGCACTACTGCAGCTGCAGGAAGGAAACCGTGACGTGCGTGCCGTGATGTGCCGTGAGTGAGAAAAAGATAGCCTTGTGTATGTGCACACAACAGTTTACATGACCAGGTTCGGTGGGCTTGGCATCATGTTATTGTTGTTGTACACTGCTGGCCTCTGGCTCAAGCCAAAATGGCACGCAGCAGTAGGAGCCTAAGGCCAGCTGCTAGTTTTTCTTCCCGCCCAGCCCAGCCAGGACCGTTCTGCGGTATCGTCACGCGGAGTTCTGGTTCTCAAGTTTTCGGTAGGGTGTGTCTGAAATACGCAGCTCCCTATCAGATGCTTTGCGTGGCGAAGGATTCGCAAGGTATGCAACCCAAACTACTACTGCAGTTGCAGGAAGGAAACCATGACGTGCGTGCCGTGAGTGAGAAGAAAGAGAGCCTTGTGTATGTGCACGCAACATAAAATAGTTGAACAGAGCATGTGGAAACAAAGAGCTGCCTTTGTTGAGCCACTCATCGGGCTTGCCGAGCTCCATCAGACCTGCGCCGTTACATCTTCACGCTAGCCTGAAATATGATATAGTCAAGTTTAAGATGATAAGTTGAGGATTGAGGAATATCGTCATTGCGGGCAGTTTTCCAATGCCTTGCTCCTGGCCCTGAGCTTCAACTTGGGGCTCAATCGAGCTCGTACATTTTGGCCCGGCACTGTTTTTGCGCTTATTTTCACGCGCAGATGCTGTGGCAAAAGCCCATCCGCATGACACAATCATCTTCTGTGTGTGCTGGAAGGTTGACTCAGATTGCGCAGTTCTTGCAGGGGCAGGTCCGAGGGAGGCTAGGATTTGTGGGCCAGCACGCCCCCACGACACAACGCAAAGCTGCTCAGCAGCATTCTCTATCATGGAGTGCGAATCGAGAGTTGTCCCACCTTGCCAGCAGACGGCAATGCGGCGAACGTAGCGAGCGCAAGTTTACCGGAATGGTTTTACGGGGTCAAGCCACTGGATTTGGTAGAGGTGCAGTGGTGGACTACACTCCAGCAAGATGATTGCGAAGGAAAGCGCAAGTATGGCGCTCGTTGATAAGCCCCCCTCGCAGCCCCACAACCGCATCCCCTTCAAACAGCAGCTCAAAGTTGCAGAGAACGCCATGCCACTTGCATGCTGTTTTGACAGGCCCATCTGCGTTTGGCGGAGAATCACGACAGCATTCTCTCCGTGGCAGGTAGCTTCCATTTTGTTACACATAAGCACGAACGAAATGATTTCAGCATAGCTTTTGCAGGTGGTGCGAGTGTCAGCTGGAGGGACAGAATCCGCATTACCATGACTGCCCGCTTGAAGCTGCTCGTGAAATTCAAGCAGGTCTGTGTTGGGTAGCAATTGTGTTGGCTGGTTCCTGAGTTCACAGGTTGAAGAGCAGTGGGGAAATGGCCTTGATGAGCTGCTGCAGGAGTCTCTTCCAAGACCGACTCTTGAGGATTCTTGTCCTTGTCCCTTCAGGACCTGAATCCTGATGTTCTCCGGCTTGGCTTGGACAACCTGAAGTCTGGAGTGCGACTCTTGGCGCTTAAGGCTTGAGCAGAGTTTGTGCCTGTGATAGCCTCGACCAAGGCTCCGTTCCATGGTGGCGGGCCGTCCGCTGCCGCAGCCGGGCCCTAATGATCCTAATGTTTTCTGGAAGCAAAGGCCTGGCCTGGGTGTAGCTAAGGATCATGCAAGCTTTGGAGTTACGCAGCCAGGCTCTCAAACCTGTCCCGACCTGTCCTCGCGGATGCAGCAGCATAGACTGCCTTGGTGTGGCAAGGTTTGCGCCATTTGAAACTCCGCAGCCCCAACTGACCCCGTTCGAGACACTGATGGAGGTCTGGCTTCGAACCATAGTCCGCATGATATGCCCCCACAGAAACAATTATTCCTACCATCATCAGTCTCCAATGCTTTGCAGGCGCCCAACCTCGGTGCCTCAGCCTATGTCAGCCTTGAATTTCTCATAAAAGTGGCAAAAACAGCTGCAGGTGGAGAGCACACGGAGAGTGTGGAGCTGGGTGGCCTTCAGGCGAAGCCCAAGGCCCAAAGCGGCCTAGCTCGACTCAACGCCGGCGCGTATGGAACGCCACCTCGAAGAGGACGCATGGCTCCTCTTCGCATCTTTAACACCCAGATCACGAGATCACGTTCAGTCACCTTCAACACTCTTGCTTTGCGAGGATTGCCGGCGTACATGCCCCCAGCGCGGCCAGCAACAAGTCAAAATTCAGGGAAGACGAGAAAGCCATATCCATGCTCACAACGTTCCAGCACTTTTCGTTCAACACCTGATGTAGATAGATCCAGGGTCTAGCAAGCACACACCATTTTCAAAGCTAAGTGCGTGTCTCCTCAGGCTCAATCGTAGAAGACATGTGCCTCATGCGCCAGGATAGGAGATACATCTTCTGCCATTATCCTTCCATGTTTTGGTCAAAATTGGTATTTGCAAAGCTGTCAAGGAATCCCAGCTTGTCCATCCCATCCTTGCGCAGCCAGAAGGTCCTGCATTGCTGAAAGGGCAAGCTTGCTAAGCAAGATGTTAGATACCTCAGCATGACCATGGCCGGCGAGGAAGATCCACAGGAGACATGCAAGCTCCTAGATTTTGCAAACTTCCTTACGCACCTGTCTCAACATACTGAAGTGGTTGCTGGGAATTTGGCCAGTAGAACGTGGTCTCATCACAGGGTGTAAGCCAGATCCGTTTCCCACGTCTTCAGTCATCCCGCGCAAAGTGCGAAATCTTCCGGATACAGAGCCTCTTCATTTCACATCTTTCAGTCCGCGCTCCGAATATCCATCAACTCTTAGACCCTGAGGTGCTCAGGTCTGCGATAGCCGTTCGCACGCTTCTGCAGGCTGTCGTTAAGTGACTGGAGAACTGCGAGGCACTATGCCAAAGTAAGGCGAGCTCGAACGAAGCATCCTTGCACAGAGTGATGCAGGTATTGTGGTTTGGGAACATGTGTCTTTATTGAGGTGACCCCTTCTGGCCTATAAGCAACATCTAAGAAAGAGGTGCAAAAATGAAGTCAGCCAGATTCAGCAAGAATGAAGGGAAGAAGTCAGAAGCGAGGACAAGAAACAACGAATGAAAAAGACTAACAGAGCAACATGCAGAAGCAAAAGAAAAGAAGCAGAGTTGGCAACGGAGAAGGACAGGCATGAAGGAAGGAGCATCTAGTAAGGAGGAGGGCAGAAAGACAGAAAGCTCACCACTGTGTATATTGCTAGCATGTTAATTCCCCACATCTAGTGTGGGGTTCTAATTATTTCGATGTGCGTCGCCCGGCACCCGCAGCGTGCTCTTCCGTCGCGCAAACATTTTAGACGCGTTGATATGAAGTGATGAATTGCGCTCTCGTTCGAGACGTCCTCATTTCGGCGTCTCTTACGATGTCGTGTGTTGGGAGGCCGGTTTGCCTTTACTTTCCTCTTGGTAGGGGAGTCCCGAAACGAACTGGACGACTCCCCGGCTTTCACTAAAATCATCAAGAATCGCGCTCTCGCTCGAGACATCCTCAAAATTTTGATGTGTTTTAACAAATTTTTGACGTTATGAAAACATCAAAATTGCGCACTTTCGTCGGACACTCAGCTTTTCGAGCCTCGGCTCACTTTTGGTTATCTTGATGCTGTTTTCAAAAATCGCGCTCTCGCTCGAGACGTCCTCAAAATTTCGTTTGTTTTTTGATAAATTTATCGTTGATTTATCTTCTTAAGATGATGTTTTTGGGGTGTTGTTTTAGTATAGCCCAGGTATAGATTTCACGCGGATCATTTTCACAATTTTGGTGATGTCTTAAAAAATCGCGTTTTCGTTTGAGACGTCTTCAACATTTCGTTGATTTGTCTTCTTAAGGGTGAGCTTCTTGGGGGGTGGTTTTAGTATAGCGCAGGTATAGGATTCCTTGGCTTCGTTCTTCGTGTGTTTCATCGTTCTAAGGAAGAAATTCTATACCCAGGCTATCTAAACTGTTTCGCTCCATATCGTTCTCTTATGATCAAAATCGCGCTCCCGTGCGGAGCGCCTTGAAAATTTTGATGAACCGATCTTTACAAATCGCGCTCCCGCTCGAGACGCCTCGAAATTTATCGTTCTGCTTTGATCAAAATCGTGCTCCCGTGCGGAGCGTCTTGAAATTTGTGATAAGTTGATTTTTGAAAATCGCGCTCCCGCTCGAGACGTCCTCGAAATTTCGTCGATTCATCTTATCAAGGGTGATTTTCTTGAGGTTATGTTTTAGTATAGGCCTGGTATAGGTTTTACCGGATTCATCGTTGAAATTTTGAATTTTCTAAGGAAGAATTTCTATACCCAGGCTATACTAAACTGATTCGCTCCATATCGTTCTCTTATGATCACAATCGCGCTCCCGTGCGGAGCATCTTGAAAATTTTGAGAAAAATCGCGCTCCCGTGCGGAGCGTCCTGAAGATTTTGAAAAATCGCGCTCCCGTGCGGAGCGTCTTCAAAATTTCGATGAAAATCTCGCTCCCGTGCGGAGCGTCCTGAAAATTTTGAACAACATCGAGCTCCTGTGCGGAGAGTCTTGATTTTTATTTACGAAAATCGCGCTCCCGCGCGGAGCGTCTTGAAAATTTTGATGATGCATACATACATTCATGCGACACATGCATAGATACACACATACATGCACACAATATATATGCATGCATACGCGCATGCGTACAGACACACGTCCACACACACAGACATGTACACATATGTAAGCACACACATCGACGACATACACACACATACACATCCACAAACACGCACATACACACACCATCACCACTATCACCACTATCACCACCATCACCACCATCACCGACACCATCACCACCACCGCCATCGTCATCACCAACATCACCAGAACCTAGGCGCGTCAATTTGACCAGATTTTGTCCTTCCTGTTCTTTAGTAAAACAAGGCAGGACAAAATCTGGTCAAATTGACGCGCGTGATTTTCTCAAGAACCTAGGCGCGCCAATTCGACCAGATTTTGTCCTTCATGTTTTTTGCAAAACAAGGCGGAACAACATCTGGTCAAATGGACGCGTGTGATTTTCTCAAGAACCTAGGCGCGTCAATTTGACCAGATTTGGTCCTTCATGTTTTTTGCAAAACAAGGCAGGACAAAATCTGGTCAAATTGACGCGTGTGATTTTCTCAAGAACCTAGGCGCGTCAATTTGACCAGATTTTGTCTTTCATGTTTGTTGCAAAGCAAGGCAGGACAAAATCTGGTCAAATTGACGCGCGTGATTTTCTCAAGAACCTAGGCACGTCAATTTGACCAGATTTGGTCCTTCATGTTTTTTGCAAAACAAGGCAGGACAAAATCGGGTCAAATTGACGCGCGTGATTTTC